TGAGTAAGTGTGGGTTCTGACTTGAGCAGACTACCTTCCTAGGACACATCATATCAAAGGATGAAGTGTTAATGAACCCCAAAAAAGTTAAAACAGTGCTCAGATGGAAAAAATTGACCTCGGTTAAGGAGATTCGTAGATTTCTGGGGATGACAAGTTATTACCACAAGTTTATAGAAGGGTTTTCTAGTCTAGCTGCTCTTCTGACTCGGCTCACAAAGAAAAACATCAAGTTTGAGTGGAATGAGGATTGTGAAAGAAGTTTTTTAGAACTAAAGAGACGGTTGACTACCATACTAGTGTTGGCCTTATCGAGCAGATCGGGTAGATATACAGTTTATAGTGATGCCTCCTACCTAGGGTTGGGTTGTGTTTTGATGCAGCATGGGAAAGTCATAACCTATGGGTCCAGACAGTTGAAGAGTCAACCTCACCCATCACTTAGAACTTACTGCAATCATCCACGCCTTGAAAACTTGGCGCTATTACTTGTATGAGTCTCCCTTTAAGATCTATACCGATCATAAGAGCTTGAAACACATATTCACTCAAAAGAATCTCAACATGTGTCAGAGAATGTGGATAGAACTCCTCAAAGACTATAATTGTGATATCTTGTATCACCCAAGTAAGGGCAACATGGTAACCGACGCACTCAGCAGGAAAAATGTAGGTACATTAGTTCATTTGATGGTTTCATAATGGGGGTAGATAGGGGCCGCATAATAGGTACGGCTTCAGGACCTGAAGAGGGTCACATATTTAGGTCACCTGATTGTTCAGCCTTAGTTAATATAAAGAATAAATGAAGCTCAGTCCACCGATTTTCACCCTAGCAGCCCTCAAGAAAGATGCAGAATAGGAAGTTAACTCAGAATTTCGAGTCTCTACCGATGGATTGCTCAGGTTTCAGGATAGAGTGTGTGTTCCAGGTGACAGTGAGTTGAAAATGGACATTATGACAGAGGCCCATAGCTTAAAGTTTGTCATGCATCCCAGAAGCACTAAGATGTATCAAAGTATGCGACCCTGATTTTGATGGAACGGGATGAAAAGAGATGTACTTGACTGTATTTGGTATGTCAAGAGGTCAAAGTATAGTATCAATGCCCAGGTGGGCTACTTAAGCCATTACAAATTCAGGAGTGGAAGTGGGAACATATCACCATGGATTTCGTGACAGGATTGCATATGGCACACTCAGGACATGATGACATCTAGGTAAATGTTGACATGATGACATCTAGTAATTATTGACTGGCTTACCAAGTCTTTCCACTTCCTGGCCATCAAGATGACCGATCCCTTAGACAAGTTAGCAAGAATGTATATCCGAGAGATAGTCAGATTACGTGGAGTGTCAGTGACATTAGTGTCCCACAAGGACCCCAGGTTCACTTCTCAATTTTGGTCTAGCTTTCAGCAAGCCATGAAAATGAAACTGTCCCTTAGTACTATATTCCACCCTCAAACCGATGAAAAGTCCGAAAGGACAATCCTCACACTTGAGGATATGCTCTGAGCTTGCGTTCTTATCTTCGGGGGCCATTGTGATGACCATCTACCCCTGATAGAGTTTGCCTATAACAACATCTACCAAATAAGTATTGACATAGATCCGTATGAGGCATTGTATGACTGCCCATGCAAATCACCGATCTGTTGGGAAGAAGTGGATGATAAAAAATTATTCGGCCCAGACCTTGTAGATGAGACTATAACCAAAATAGTTAAGATTAGGAAGAACATTTAGACGGCTCAGGGCAAACATAAGAGTTATGCGAACACCTGGAGGAGGGATTTAGAATTTGAGAAAGGCGATCGGGTGTTCCTTAAGGGAATTAGTAGGTTTGGCACGAGGAAAAAACTAAGCTCCCGGTTTATTGGGTCATTTGAAATCTTAAACAAAATTGGTACCGTCGCCTACAGACTGGCACTGCGTCCAGAACTTTTCAGGGTTTATAATATGTTTCATGTGTCCATGCTATGCAAGTACAAGCCAGACCCCTCTATATCTTGGCCCACGAGCCTCTTCCACTATAGGAGGATCTGTCTTATAAGGAAGTATTGGTCGGTATTGTGGACTGAAAGAGTAGATTACTCCGCAACTGGAAAATTTTCTTTGTTAAGGTCATATGGCAGAATCACACACCGAGAGATGCCACATAGGAGCTAGAATCAAACTTTAGAACCCAATATCCCCAGTTGCTTGATTGAGAGTGAGAGAGACAAATTTGAGGGACCAAATTTTTTTTAAGGAGGGAGAGTTGTAATGCCCAATTTTAATTTAATGAAAATTAAACTAATTTATAATTGTAATTTTTTAATTTTAATTTAGTGTAAAAATGAAGAAAATTTGATGGACGATGAAATTGGAAACAATTTTAGGAAAAAGGAGTGAAAATTTAGGTTCTTGGTGTATTTTTGAAAGAAAAATAAAAAACTGGAGGTTAAAATATAATTTAGAAAAGTTGTGTCACGTAGGATGCTCAGTCAGTAGCCCCGACGAACCAGAACGCGACGCGTGGCAACAGACGTTGACATAGTGCCATGTGGGAGGCCACGTGAGCGATCCGCGTGTCAGCAATCGAACGATCCAAATCCGTTCCTACGCGCACGGACGACCCAGATGCATGCACTCCCTAGACGCAATCGGACGGTCAGATTTATACGAGATCAACGGTCCATATTTACTTCCTATTTAATCACGATCGGACGGTTCAGATCAAAAGCGATAGAGTTCCAGATTAAAAGAGGACGGGTATAAATAACCCTCTTCACACCAAACCCTAACCCTAGCCGCAAGACCCCCTCGCCAGAGAAGAGGACCCAGCCGCCGGGAAGGAGAGCCGCCGCCAACCGCCGCTGCGCCGGAGCCACTTCTGACTGCCAAAAGAGGTAAAAATTTCTTGCTTTTCTTGGAATTCAATTTTAAACACCCGCATAGCCAAATCAGAGCCAAAAGACCGGTAGATTGACCGAAAATCGCGGGCAAAGCTCGGTGGCTTCGTCGCAGAAAATTTCAAAAACTACTTCCAATGAAGCCCTTCTCGATTCTTGTTCTGTATAATTATTCCACCATTTTGATCACCGTTTCCTTCTCTACAGGTTGATCGGAGCAAAACACCCAATTGCAAAGCGAGCCGGCGGAGCCGCAGCACTAGAGAGCCCTACTGCCGGTGAGTTTCAATTTTTCAATTTTTTTGGGCCAACCGAGTCCCTTTAACGTGTTTTCTCGTAGGGGTTGATGTAAAACTGGCCGAATTCGACCGAAAACAGCCAATTCGAGGTGGATTGCCACTGCATCGTCGCTGGAGCACGGTGGAGCTTCCGTGCTGAAATTTTAAAATTGGCTGAAAAGGGTTCCTAACATTGTTTTTGAGTTTTTGTAGGATATTTATAGGTACTTATAGCGCGTCTTATTCCCCGAAGAAAAAATTCAGGGAACCTAGGAACCGCCAGTAGGCGCAGTCAACAGCTTAGCTTTTTGGGTATCAAATTGAGTAAGAATCCCTCACTCTGTTCTCTGTAATGGAATTAAAGTCAAATTAAAATCTATTTAGTATTTTGTGCAATCTAGAAAATATTCATAACTAATTACGGGTTATTAATGAAGACAGAACTGAAAATTATCTACTGTTGTTTATGTTGATTATTTTTACGATTTAAATGCATGATAGTATTTAATTAATTGATTTTATAGTTTTGAATGCATGTATTGTTTGTTTTGTATGGTTATGGTTGAATTGGAGAATTGAACGCTAAAGGTAAACGAAAAATTTTGTGATTAAGTGAATGGAAAAAATGATAGCCATACTGGGTATCCTAGGAGCTAGTGGACGAACCGAGTACATAGAAAACTCTACCGTGAACGTTGTCTCATACCGGACGGAGTATTTAGACTTAGTAATTTGGTGCTTATACCGGACGGGATATGGAGATAACCCGTTTCACCCTCATATCGGATGGGGTATTAAGGTTTAATAATTTGGCACTCATACCAGACGGAGTATGGGGATGGCCTGCTAATTGAGAATATTAAAAGAAATAGTTCACGCGTAGTGGGGACATTTCTATGGACCCCATGGATACCAACAGACTTATAAAAAGGGGCAGTTGTTGTTTTGATTAATTGAATATGAAATTGTAATATGCGCATGTTACCGATTGCATATGAAGTCATGATAAGTGTTATGTTATAGTTTCTATAGATTGTTTTAGTAAATCTCACTTCAGTAAGTGGACGGTAAATGATTTTATTATTGATAAATAAATTTGCTTAATTAAGTACTCCATTAGTTGTTTTAAATTTTTCTACCAACTTTCATTTCTATATGTAACGTGATATTCTTACTGGGTTAATGTAGCTCATTTTTTATTTAACTATTTCAAATCAAGAGAACCAGGATCCATAGCCCGATCCAGAAGAGGGTTGTGAGTAGGAAACCAGTTTTATTCATTTTCTGATTATTTCCTTAATTTTTTTGTATTTCTTTCAAAAGAGTAATTCTCGTAATAATATTTGGAACTTTAAGTTTATGTATAAGGAATGTAAACCTTAACTATTTATTTCACTTTTGCATTAAATTCATAATTTATTTTCTTTATAATTTTCGGGTCGTTACACTAAACATCATAAATTAATAGAATAATGTTTCTCAAAAAGAAGAAATATATTAGCACCAAATGTTTAAATAAAGATGAATTATGAATTTATGTACTACTTGATAACTTTTTTTCATGGACTAATTTATTAAATCTTCAGTGCATACATAACAGTTTCCAGAACAAAACGTATAGTTCTAGTCGAAACAGGACAGCCTT